CGCGGAGCGTGCGCTGGCGCGAACTGCTCTCGCCGCGGCCCGGCGTCCCCGGGACTTCCGCCCTCCTCGGCCGCCCCACGGAGCGCCCTCGGGCGTTTTCGGGGCTGTCCGGGGACGCTCTTCGCGGGTGGCCCCCCTCGCTCGCCCCCGCCCGCCGTGGGCATCTCCGTTAACACCGGTCTCCCGCGGCCCCTTGGGGAATCCCCTCCCCAGGGTCCTTCCAAAATAAAGTCGGCCGTCCGGAGTCCGGGAGGACGTGGAGCCGCGCGCGGGGCCCTGGACGCCCGGCGCGGGCCAGCAGCCGCTGGCACAAAGGGCATCAGCCCGGAAAGCGCTCACTCCCTTTAGGGGCGCCTCCTAGCGCCCAAAGTCACTCCGGCTAAATCCGGGCGCGTTGCCCGTCTGTCGGGGTCCCCTGAGGGCCAGGCGCCCGGGGGCACTACCTCCGCGTGGGCAGCCCCCAGCAAGCACAGCGCCTGGCATTGCCTCTGTCCCCTCCCACGTGCCCCTGCACTTGGGGCCGAGCGTGGGAACTCAGGCGGCGGCCCTGTCTGCTTCGTGGCCGCTCCCCAGGGCTTCACCCGTGAGTCCTGGCAGCTCCGGGACTCGAAACCCGCGGAGAGACAGGGTGCCCCGGGGCTGAGGCTGAGCTCGAGGGCCCATTCGCGAGTGGGCAGGACGCCCAGGGAGGAAGCCAGCTGGCCCAGGGCCCCAGTGCCGGTGGTCTGGGCGCCCCGCTGTCTTGGCGCCTCCTCCCAGCCTCCCCCTCAGCACTGCCCTGGAGTTTGGCACTGGAGACACAGCGGAGCGCTCCCCTCCTGGGGAAAGCGCCCGCTCTGTGGGCGGAGTGCCCCAGCACCGGCCTCTGGGGGGCAGGCGGGCAGAGGAACTGTGCCCAGGGCGCCTCTAGCCGCGCTGGGTGCAGGTAATGCGGCCTGGCATACCTGGCGCTGTCCCCTGACCCCGCCCCGGCGGCCGCACCCCGGAACGCTCCTTGTCAGCCAGCGGCCGGAGCAGGGCCATGGCGGCGACGCCGGTGGTGTGCGCCGCGCAG